AAAAATTTGGGTATTATATTCTTTTGATTTACTTTATGTCATTTTCTATGTTGCATATATTTGCTGTAAGTATCTCAAGTAAAAGCTGTACAGTTTCAGCTTATGGACTCACTTGTATACAAGGATAATTCTGAATATTGCTTCCTTCCGATAGAAGCATGTGAGGTGAAATTATGGGACCAGAAGTTTGTAATTGTATCTTTACTTTAAAGTTTGGTCTTGTTCACTCCCAGATAAACTCCAGTCACGTGAATCAAACCTTAGTGGGTAACCTCATTCAAGTCATTAGGGGTAGATTATCTTTTCTCTTTTTCCATACACAAAATAATTCAAGTTTTCCACCCAAGGGAGGAAAAATATATATGAAGCAGGCATTCAGAGCTCTTTGCGAACATGGGTGTGTTCTCTTGCCTGGCTCTAAATAGTTAGAATCATAAAAACCAGCCCTATTATGCAACTTTTTTTCCCTCAGAAAACAAGTCATTGAGTTTTCTACATCAGTCAAGAGAGAGAAAACAAGGAAATCTGGCTTTCTCCAGCTCTCACAATCCCTTACACAAAAACAGGAAACAAAAAACCCTCTAGGTTTTTCATCCTAAACAAATAGCTCCTTGCAAGTTTACTTATACATAGTACATAATTAAATTCCCAGTTCACATTTGTTACTGAGTTAATGGAATGAATTCTAATACTGTAACAGTCTCAAAGTCTAATAAAGTAACAGTCTCAAAGCACAAGTCAGATTGCGTCTCCTCCTGTAACCCTCCCGGAGCCATCTACTACAGTCCTAGACCATGTTTTGCCCTCATCAAGGTTTCCAGTTTAACTTTATTCCTATGTGCGCAGCTTCCCTTAGACTGTGAAGCTCTGGAGTCCCTGGAGCATTTCCTATTTTATTCTTGTTTGTGTTCTCGGCACCTCACAAGGATTTGAACAAATAGATATTTGTTGAATGGGATATAATTTTGGATTATCTGCCGATAGGGATTTTCTGGACCATTGCTCCCAACTGTCAGTGTGCCTAACCCTGAACTTACCCGGAGCTGACCTACTGTTACATCAGTAAGTCTTAATTTTATAGCATTAGGAAGCCCAGGAGGGGAGAGCAGGCAGAGCAGCTTCACATGACTAACTGTCCTTCACTGATTTCTGTGACCTCAAAGGCTGTCCTTGAGGGACTAGCGGCCATCAGGCTGAGCGAGCATGGGGAAAGGCAGGGTAAAGTTTCCAGTGCGCGCTGGGATAAGCTGAGCAGGGAAAGGGAACTTCACCTAAATCTCGCACCCTCCCTTAGAAACTGCCCACGGGGAAGGCAGGCGAGGGGTGAGGATGGCTGCAGGCCAGGGAGGGAGGTGAGAGGCTGGCAGATGGAGGGCTCCCTTTGAGGAGGGCTCTCGCAGGACAGCCGTTGCAAAGCCACACAATGTACAGAAGTAAATCAAATTGCACGTGTACACTAAAAGAAGCGGAAAGCAGGGCGGGGGCAGAGGGCACACAGAAGGGAGGGCCTGAATGGGAGGCGGAGATCCCCTTAGATCCTGAAGACAGAGAGCGAAGAGAGCTAGGGAGAGGAAAGGCAGCCTCATTCTGAGGGGCCTGAATTTTTCTGGAGCAGTTGGGGGAGCAAGAGGGAAGAGGTGCTCAGAGAGGAGTGCAGACGCAGAGCACCCTGAGGCTCCGGGGAAGTTGGCTGAGCATTTCATTCATTCTCAGGAGTCTAGGCAAGACCGAAATCTTACTACTGCAGGCATATCCAGGCAAACGCTCCACTGGCACCTTAATAGCATATGGCAGCATCTCTCCTAGAATAAGGTAGGTTGTTCCTAGAGGACAGTTCAGTGCTTTAAGTTGGCACCGACAGAAAATACTAGAAGCTTAATGTAGCCTTTAAAGAAATTACATCCTGGGCTGGGGATTTAGCTCAGCAGCACAGCGCCTGCCTGGCAAGCACAAGGTCATGAGTTCGATTCCTGGTACTGGAGGAGTGGGGGGGGGTGGGCAAAAAAAAAAACAAAAACAAAAACAAGAAGTTAAATCCCTTCTAGCCTGAGGGAAAACAGCTCTTTCACCTAAAGCTGAATTTCAGCTTTAAGTCCTGCGGGTGAGTGACGCTAGTGAGCTGGAGGCTGAAAACCAAGAGGCTGTGCCTGGGGACAGGTTGCACAGTCACTGGCTGCAGTAGAGTTTTGTTTTTGTCTTTGCCCTTTGCCCCATCTCCTCATCTTACCTTCCTGGTTCTCATTTTATTTGTAAACTCTCCCCAAAACCTGCCCCAGTATCTCTGCATCCCTTCAGCCCCTTCTAGGTGGTCCTTTGCGACCTAGGGAGTATAAGGTGCACTTTTTTCCTTAATGGTGAGGTAAATTAGGGTGAACCCGAGAGTGCTATGGTCCTAAAGCCCAGGAATGGACAAGTTTAGTACCTCAGTGCACAGTTTGATGACCCCACAATTTATATCCAAGCTGAGGCATTTCTAAAAGTGAAGGAGGCTCTAAAATAACTAATAGGTACAATAACCCTATAAAAGGTATAAATTATGACTGTACTAAGCCGTGCAGGACTTATAGTGTCGCTAGATGAGATTAAACTGGCAAGCAACCCAATACTTGTGCGGTGTGTGGATACCTGAGTGTTTTGGGAGATGTGAAAACTATTCAACTTGCCATAAGGAATAGCCTCTGTACGGTAACTATTTAGAACCATTCATTGATTTTATTCCTGAGAAGAGGTGGAATTCTGGCATGGGGTATTATTTATTAATTTATTCCATCTTCATTCTAATCTATCCTCTCAGTGCTCAGGGATGAAATAAAATGTAATAATCAAAATAAACAAAACACATGGAAATAAGCAGATGTTCAAATTACATTTGTTTTTTGGCTCTGTGATCTTGGACAATTTACTACTCATCTTTCCTGTTTTTCTCACTGATATAGATCTCCAGTGCCTGTAGTACAAAGGAAGCACTCAGATATTTATTGAATAAATAAATTAATGGGCCCTGTTCTTATCTAATGAAAAGAAGTGATAAGAAGATGGGAGCTTAGCAATTGTGCAGCACTTGCCTAGTACATGTGAGGGCATAGGCTCAAATCCTGGCAGTGGAAAAAAAAAAAAGGAAAGATAAAGGTAATGATATAATCCATGCCAAAGAGCTGTTGCACCAACTAGAGAAGCAATACTGGTCAAAGTCTCATTTCAATGCAAAATACGCATTTCTCCATTTCTTTTTTGGTACTGGAAATTGAACTCAAGACCTTGCACGTGCCAGGCCGGCGCTTGGGCTGCTGAGTTATATCCTCGGCAAAATATGCATTTCTAAAGGTGGTCTTTGCTGATTACTGAAGCAATAACTCTGGTATAGACTCAGCAAATGTGGTTTTCCTCATTTTCCTTTCCCCTTTCATACCTATTTTGGTATCTTAAAATACTCACTTCTAAACCCCAAAGGGCTAGAATGGCTTTGTATTCTTTGTGCTGCTACCTGAATCCTTGCTTTCTTAGCTCAGACCAATGTGAATGTATCTAGAAATTAATGTAATTCTAGATGGCAGAATGGGAGAGCAGGAGGAAGGGCAAAATATCTAAGTTCTATTAGACTTTTGTGATTGAAGAATCATGTATTGTAGAAGCACAATTTCAGAATTTGAGAAATACAGTAAGTCTATATCTATCTATCCATCCACCTATCCATCCACTCACCCACTTTCCCATCTATCTATCATCTATCTATCATCTATCTATCTATCTATCTATCTATCTATCTATCTATCCATCCATCCACCCTCCTATCTATCTATCTATCATCTATCTATCTATCTATCTATCTATCTATCTATCTATCTATCTATCTAATCTATCCATCCATCCACCTCCTATCTGTCTATCTATCTATCTATCTATCAATCTATCTATCATCATCATCATCTATCTTTTCCCCCCTGATGGAAAACCCCACCTGGATGATGAGTCTCAGGTTGATGCATGGCACCTGGCCTTCTGCAGCTCCCACAGTGGCATCCTTTCCACACTTTGGTTGGCTTGAATCCTGAGGGGCTTTGCATTTTATTTTCATCAGAGAGGCTATTCTTTATGCTGTAGAGTCATAAAATAATGCCTTAGAACTTATGATCTAGGAAAAGATGGGGTTTAGGGAAGGCCAGATGTATGGGAATGTGTCTTTCTTATTGCACCGTCTTCTAGGGACCCAGCTGCTACCATCACCCCATCACGCATTATCACTTTTAGTGGTAAGATCCTGTATTGAAACTGAATCTCAGGCAGTGCACTCTGAGTTGAATATGGTTTCGGACCAGATCCTGGAAATGGGGAACTGGAGGAGAATCTGTCCTACCAGCTGCTTCAGGCTCAGTCAGCACAGAGGCCAGGTTAATCACTTTATTTTCAGTGTTCCTCCTGGAGCATCTATCTACAGAATAGATTCTGGATTTGTAGTCTATTGTCAGTGCCTCCTACAGGATAGTAGTACGGCATAGAGGCACAGATGCCTTGTATCCCAATCCTACCATCATAACTCCTGTGTGACCTGGGGTAAATGATACAAGTTCTCTGTAGTCCACTAATTCATTTGTAAAATGGGAATAATTGCATTTTATAAGATGGTTGTGAAATAGGTACATGAAAACCACTTAAAACAGCTTTGACATATGACAGTGTTCTACAAGGACTAGCTATAATTATTACAGACAGTAATTGGCTTCCTTGCATTGGCTTTTGCCTCACCCAGTCTCTTATTGCTTAGACGAGGTGACAGGACTGGAGCACTGGCCTGGCGAAGCAGCCTGCTCACAGCTACCTGTAACTCAAGGGAATTGCCCTCAAAGTGTCAGAGTGTTCACTTGGTTCAAAACAGCTTTCTTTCTGATCTGAGTATGCTCTTGTCCATGCTCTGTTTGGTCCATCCAGAAATCTGGATGCACCATGAGAGTGCTCTTTTTAAAATTTATCTCTTTATCCTCCCCTCCCCCCCTTTTTTGCAGTGGTATAAATGAAGTCTGGATTGTCAGGAAATCCCCACTGTTCTGCACTAGATATTTCTCTGAGATGAAGAACCAGATGACTGAAGTCTCTTAAAGTCAATTAAAAGTTTGCTCCCAAGGCTAGACAAGGGCTCCTGCAGCTGAGAAGAGGAGGGCAGCTTGGGTGTGAACTAATGCAGTGACCTTTTCATGGAACTGCACGTAAACTGCGGTGCTTGGGCTTATGAACTCTGGTGGACTGACAGTTGATGGTCAGCTTGCAACACACAACTGAACTGAATCAGCATGGTACTTGGGTATGGAAGGCCCACCTGAGGATTGTTACGAACAAAATAAAAAGAACTGGAGAAGAAGAAGAGGTGCTGTTGGCTCTGCTGGGTGCTGTTGGTTCTCCTGGAGGAGCTTGTCACACTGGCTTTCCTGATATGGACACCGCTGTTCTCATCGTCAGAGGAGCTTGGGAACTCATTGTCACTGAGGACGGCTGTGATACCTTTCAGGGGAGCTCTGGTTCTCACATTGAGTGTTACTTCCTGGCTCCAGTGCAGATTATTGCCATCAGATCCAGGCCCTCACCTGGATCCTTTTGGTCTGTAGTGTGTGGACAGATTTCCTGCACTCTTTTTGTATTTGACTCTTTGGGTGACTATTATAAAATAATCTTATAAATTATGTATCCTGTATTAAATTGTTCCCCTTGCAAACCCTGACGAAGACATGAACTGTGGCTCTTGGATCCTTTTCTGAAAACACATCTGGCCATGGGTTGTAAATGGGATTTTAAAGACAACATTGTAGTTATGTTTTAAAATCAGTTTTACTTATTTATATATGAGCAGATGAAACTTATGTAGAAACAAAACAAGTTTCTTTGATAACTGTCTAATTTAAATCTACTTAATAAGATAAAGGCCCACTTGAGATAAAGGCCCACTATTATCAGTTTGTGTCTGTGTATATATAGTTGTGTAATATATATGTATATATTTTTAATGGATGTATGTTTTAAAAATTTAGTCTATCACACTGAACTTATAGTTCTATAAAGTGTTCTATATTTTTATACCATGCTAGTATATATAGTTCATTTTTTAATTAGATCACATAGATCAACTGACACCTTGGCATCGGTCAGCATTATTTAATTTTAAAAGGTAATTATGAGATTTAACTATGTCCCATCACTGAATGTCAGAGCTGGAATAAACCTGAAGCTCAGAGAGGTGAGGTCACTCATTGCAGTCACACAGAGACACTGCAGGGTTCCTCACTCCTAAGCTTTGCCTTCTTCCTCCGTGGTAGCACCAATCTGTGAAAAGAATGAAGGACTTCGCAGGTGTAAGGAGGGGTTATTAAATTTTCTCATTGTCATTTTCTAGACTATTCAGAAACTCAGCCGACACCTCTGTTTTATCCCAGTCTGTCTTCAGAAGTTCATGTTACATTTGACCTTGTTTTTTAACCTCTTCATAATTATTTTGAATCTTTACTGTAGTAAAGTACCACTTTACTACAGCAGCACTAAGCTTCTGGAGGCAGGGACTGTGTTTCTTTTCTCTTTGCCCCCAACTCTTAGCACTCTGTCCTTAATCCCTGGATCGGCTGAAATTTTATTCTGAATATGGACAGCTGAATCATTTCTTTCTTAGAAGTTCACCTTCCTACTTCCTATAGGCCCTGATTTATGCTTCCAGACCCCATTTGTTCGGCAGTGTTCATTTCAATTCAGCAAAGCAAATGGTCTGCCAAGGGAAGGTGAGAAGGAGGGGCATCTGGGACTGTTAGCAACAGGATCTGTGGTTTGCATCTCAGCACCCTGGGGCCTAATGTTAGACACTGGTTTCAGGTCTTCGGGATCTGGTCAGCGAAGGCAATTTCTAGCCCCCTTAGGGGCCTACAGGCAGGTCTCCTTTGGGGGCCAGGATTAGTGGGAATACTAATTAATTCATTAGTGGAGTTGATGGATTACCAGGCTGTCTCCTGCCAGAGGGGCCTTGGAGAGGGGAGCGGATTGCTGCCCATAAATCTGCCTGTTGCCTCACTTCTGTCTGCTTCAGTGGCTCCCGGCATCAGGCTTGTGGGCCAGCAGTGCCGGTCTCATGCTCCCCACTCAGCAGATGGTTCTAACAGGTTAGCTCAGAGCTTTACAAAAAGCATCAGAGAAAGAGGCAAGGGCTGGGGAATTGGCCCTCTGGCCCAAGAGCCATGTGGGAGGGAGGAGGATGAATGCAAATACCCTTCATTTTCTTTTCCTAGGGCACTCACCACCCCCTTTCCTTTGCTGACTGCACACGCCCCGAGTGCCCCTTCTTGCCCTTTTGGAGTTCAACAACCAATAGTACAACTGTCAAGGAGTTGTGATGAGAGGGTGACCCCAATAAAATAGATTCTATCCTTCTCTCTGCAAAAGGCAGCTCTTAAAGAAAATTCAGCATCCACTCCCTTCGATGCTGCACAACTACACACACACACACACACACACACACACACACACGAATGTATTTGGAAGGCTAATCCTATTATGTGCACTCCCTTACATCTGTCAGAGAAAGCAAGGAGCCCCTGCAGAATGTCCTGTCCCCACCCTCAGCTTTGTCTCAATATGTTCACCTTTCTGCTAATCTGCTATTCCTCCCCTCCCCCTGAAAATTGCACAGGCAGGACACCAACACCACCGGTACTATCAACTTTTGACTATCCATGGACATGGCTTTGAAGACACAAAGCCAGAGATCAATCCATTCAATACAGGCCCATTGAACAACTATTAAGCAGCTCTAGCCTAAACACAAATTACCCCATGGATAACTTTCCTCTGGCTGAGGAGCGAATGCTGGGTTGGCTTTGAGAAATGAACCATTCCTATCCTGTGTTGCTTAATTAATCAGAAAATGAAGTTTATTGTGCTAAACAAATGTTTCCTGGATAGGTATACAAAAGAGATTAGTAAGGCTTTAAAGATTTGCTGAAAATGAATAACTTCTTCTGAAAACAAAAAAAGTTAATTTTTATTCTTCACTTTTTTTGTGAAGGACAAGAGTCATATGACACAGTAGAATTTAAAAAACATTAACTATTTAATACCCACGATATTCTTTAACTTCATTAGGAATAAAACTATCTTTTGTGGCTGGGGAGGTAGCTCAGTGGTAATGCATATGCACAGCAGGCATCAAACCACACGAAGCCCTAGGTTTGATCCCCAGTAACTAACAACAAACAAATAACAACCATTTTTTTTGAAAAACAAAACAAAACAAAAACCAAAAAAAAAAACCCCAAAACGCCAAAAAAAACCCCAACTTTCTGTGCACAAAAGCATATTTATTTCCCTCATAACTATTAGACATATGGGCCAATTATATTGGTAGAGCAAATGATTTCCAAAACGCCAAGGAAATTTTTCTCAAATAAATTTCAAAAGGAAATTGTGCTTGGACTCAGAAATCTGTCATGCTACTGAGGAGAAAAACTTAAATTATCAACTCACATTACAGTTGTGAAAACTCATGCTCAGAGTGAAGTTGCTTTGCTTAACCTGAGCATCTTTTTAAAAAATCCCTCTTCAGAATCATTAGGTGATTGATTATAAAATCCTTGACATCTTCAAATGAACTCACCGTTATTTATGTGCTCTTGGTTAAGTTTTTTAAAGGTAGTATGTGTAATAATATATTCACTTCAAATTATTCCAAATGTTCTATTTTTTGTCTTCTAGCAACTTAATCTCACTTCATCATGCCAAAGAAGTTTTAGGAATGATACAACTCTTTTATCTTTCCAAATTCATAACCACTCAGGTGGACTTTTCCTACCTGAATGCTTAATGATGTATTTTTGCAAAACAATAGTGGATTCTAGTTTGTAAATCAAGGAACATTAAAAGAATGGTTTCATTCATTTGCTTTTTGTTTTAATACATTTCAAATGAACAAAAGATTGAAAGAACAGTACAACAAACATAGCTTTATCTATATTCAAGAGTTTTAAGGGAATATTGTTGAAAAGCTGGAAGAGGGTGATATTTCTTCTTCCCAGCTCTTTCTTTAGAGCTCCAGAGGGGAGAAAGTGCACTAATTCACATGTGTAAAAAACAATCACTTATGCTAGGTTCTCCTCACGTCTCTCTCTCATTTTCTGATTAGTTTCAGAAGTGAGCCAGCAGTTTTATTTGTCCTCAACTCTCTCGCGCAGTCTCTCCTCGGTTTCCTTTCCCCATTCCGCTCTCTTTGCTTCAATCTTTTTAACCACCAAAGTTTACAGTTCTCTTTCTCTTTATCCCTCGACTTCAGCAACTCCTGCAGTTCCCCTTCGACTACTCCACCCCTGTTTAAATAAACACACACACAGTGGCAAAGCAGGACCTGGTGAGAGGGGCCCTTTCCAGTGGGCGTGGCTTTCGCTGGGGGAGGGGAGGAGCTTGTCTATGGGCAGCACCACCCCTCCCTGGTCAGCTGGGAGAGCAATCAAAACTGCTGCAAGTCTGTGGCTCCCGCCAGAGAACAGGAGCTGCCCAGAGACTGTGGTCCTGAAAGCGCCACTCCGGGAGCTAACCAGGCAGGAGAGGTCCTGAAGCAACCAACACCAGTAGGAACAGAGGCAACAGCCCCAAAGCATCTTGGAGGAGAATCAGAACTCCGCGGAGTAGAATAAGCAACATCGAGAAGAACCAGACCCGGAGGAATATCTAAGAGGTAGCTACCGGGTTTAATATGGATCGCTGAAAGCACCTCCTTCTCCCATGATCGGCAGGGCCGGGGGCCTTGGCTTCTCTGACTGTCTTCTAGGACACAAATTTGCAGAGTTCATCCCTGGAACTGCCACTAACTGAGGTGAGCCAGTGGGTGGGATGGTGGTAGTGGGGGCTACTGGAGTTTCTGTGGGAAGTTCCTGTGGATCTAGAAAAGTGGCTGGGGCGAGTAAGACTCTTCTGGGATAAGGGAGGAGGGAGGAGGATTAGCAAACTTGAATGTACAAGAGAAAGTCTTTTAAGAACACTTAAGATAGATACACATTTTATGGAATTCTGTATCATTCCTAATATCTTTCTAAGTTATTTTTATTCTCTTTAAAATAAAGATACACGTTTTAATAATTTTATTAGATTTCACAGCACCTGACATCCAAAGTGAAACTCATAGATACTGTAAATCGTTTTTATTAAATGATGACTACAAATTATCTCTCTATTGCTGTCAAACCCACTATAACATTATATTACTAATGCTGAAAAACACCCAAAAGTGTAACTGCTTTTGCAGAGCAATGCAGCAAGTTGGTTAGAAAACTGACCCAATCCACCACTCTGGTCTCTACCTCATAGGCATAACTAAGGAATGGAAGGGAGAGAGGAGGAGAGAAAATCAAACAAAGAATGGGAAAATATTTTGGAAAGCCATGGCAGAATATTCTCACCACTGCCCCACTTGGTTTACTAAAATTCCTTGAATAATTGGAATGGGACAGGGGAAATGCCTTTTTCTCCTAGTTCTTTCAGATGAGAAATCAGAAGAGATTGTCCAAGTATATTTTTCTCTTTTCTGATTTACACTCACCATTTACCCACCAAAGAAATATATCTAAAAATTATTAATAAATGTACAATGCTGGCCTCACTTTTTGACAAAGGGATCAGAGATGATAAACCCTGAGGGAAAATGGAAGGGTGGAAAAAGTTCCTTATTAAGATTTGAAGCTATGAGGTGCTGGGGATTTCACTCAGCGGCACAGCGCCTGCCTGGCAAGCGCAAGGTGGTGAGTTCGATTCCTGGTACTGGAAAAAAAAAAAAAGATTTGAAGCTACGGAAGCTGGAGCAGGACTTGTGTCTGCTAGATAAAATGTGTATCTTCCTGCATGTTGCATACTTTCTAATAAAAAAGTAGAGTATAATGAGCTGGGTAGGGACAGCACAGAAAAACTTACTGCTTGTTTCCAAGCAGGGTTATTTATGAGCACCGTGATCTGTAGTCTGTCTTTTTTATTTCAGACTGTGCAACTTTGAGTAAATTATTTAGTTTTTCTGGTCCTTAGATTCCTTAGAAACTGAGTTGGACAGTTGTCTTCCTGTTGTATTTAGAGTTATAGGAACAGGTGGTAAAGGTCTACTGTCAGTTTTTAAGGCGAAAGACACTCTCCGGCCTCTACATGCTCATGTGTGAATACCTCTAACACACTTATTTATCATTTAAACTTCTCCAAAGTAAAAATTTAATCAAAGTACAGGAAGAATTCCATGACAGCATCACATGGTTGTAATACCAGGTAACCTTGGCCCTAGTGTAGTGAAAATATTGAACCGTCACACAGCAAATCCTGCTAGAATAGGTTTGTAAATGAAAAAAACGGGAGATATATTTTGACTTAGAATAAATTAAAATTGAAATGTCATTGAAGAAGCCTAAATAAAGAGGAAAATTCTGTCACACTGTTTAGGTAACAAAACCAAGGTCAAAGGCTAAATGAGCTTTATAATATTAGAATGTTTTTGTATGTGTTGGTGGGGGAGGGGCTGGATTCTGCTCCCAGCACCAGGATTCATTGATTTCTGTCATATAGCAGTCTGCTTCCTATATATTTTGAGAGCTAATTTCTTTTCTAGGAATTGAGAACACCTTAAGATGATTTATCATAATACTTTGTGAGATAGTGCTATAGATTTTCCCATATATATTTTCTATAAGACAATTTCTAATCCTAACGTGTGTAAAATAGTTTTACAAAGTAAAACTTCCAAATAAAGTAGAAAACATGAACATATTTGTATTTTGCCCTCAGGATAAACGAATTAAAATAATTTGTGCTCATTGCATAAGTGAGTGATGGGAGAGGTCTTAGTTTAGTGCTTCTTTTAGTACAACTCAGAGACAATTCTGAAATGGTTCACTAACAAGCCAAAAGCTACATTTGACTTAAGTGCCTGTTCTCGAGAGAAGGTAGCTTCTTTTGTCAAAACTCAAAACTTGTGCCATAAACATTTTTAACACTCAAATCTGAAACTGAGTTTTCTATTTTTTCCTTCAACTAACATTTTGATGCCCTAAAAATACTGAGGAAGGAAAAGAGAGAGATTTTTCTTTATCTTTGAAGAGTCTTGGTTTTTACTTCCATTTAGAAGACACTTCATTTTCTTCCTACAGCCTGTCATTTGGGTTTTGTGGGAAAGTTATATTCCCCATATTGATTATCAACGGTAAAATGTCTGAGAGCAATGATTGTCTGTATTCTACCAGATCCTTTGTAAACTCAAAATTTATATAAGTAGCAGTATTTAGCCAAATGTATTCTCCTAATTATAAAACAGTATGAAACTTAAGAAATTAACCTTTCAGAATACAGTGGAAGAGTTCTAATTAATCCAATAGAGGCAGCTGATAGTTTGGTGCCTCACTACTCTGCAGCAAAATAGGACTTTTGGCATTTGGTTTCATTAGGAAGTAGGGAGACTAGGAACATGAGGGGATTTTTTTGAAATGAGTGTTGAAATGGAGCCACTAGTTTTGGCTGACACAAAATCAATCTTAGGCACACTTTATGGTTATGCCTATTCTTGCTCAAACAGCCAGAAAAACTCGTGATGAAATTGAACAACAATTATTTGTAAAATTTATGTGGGATTTATGATATCTGGTATTATTTAGAGTGCTTTTAGTATATGAACTCATTTTTTTGCTTCTAATAATCCTATGAGCTAGAAAAATTACTAATCCTATGTTAAAAAGGAGAAGACTGAGGAAAGTAACGGTGACAAAACTTAAAGTCACATACCTAGTAAGTGGCACAGCTGAAATTTGAACCCAGGGAATTTGTTCTTCTCATGGTTAGCAAAATAACGTAGGTAAAAATGTGTTACCCTTTTTAATTGTTTTGACCAAAGCCAGTTGGTTATTTTCCTTCATGCCTATTAACAATCTAATTGTTATAGAAACTACCAAATATGCTAAGTGTAAAATGTAGTCTATTCTATTCTCCTAATCCCACTTGAAGTGGGTGACTATTGAAAGCTCTTGTAAGAGTTCAGAGGTACAGAGGTAAGGATGATATATAATGCCAAACACCCAAGATAGTGTGGGACTGAGATCCAAAGGCAAGCCAGAAGGCCTTCCTCTCTTTCGTGTTTTTCTCTTCCTTCTTTCTCATCTCTCCATGCATGTAAGTATGGCTCAGAGCATTGATGATAATAGGGATGGGAGAAAGAGGAGAAGGAAAAGGAGGGGGATATAGACAAGAAGAAGGAGAACAAATGAGTGAAAACATTTGGAGAAGAAAGAAATTCTGGAGATGTGAAAGACACACCAGAGTACATCTAAACCAACCTGCCTTTGAAGATCATTCCTGTTGACTTAGTTCCACTGATCTACAGCTGCTAAACTCAAAGTGACTTTCTTCTTATAGCTGGGATGAAATAAAAAAGAAAAAAGAGCCTAAAACCTAGGATTAGAGCCAGAACTGGTTTTATGTGCTTCTTCCCCAGCTCAGCGTCTGTCTTTGCATTTCCATCACGTGAATGACCTGACCCACCGTGACTCTGACCATACAGTGAACACAAGCATTCCCATCTCCCTCAAAGGCTTGCTCTAAGGAACATATGAATTCACGGATGCAAAAGTGCCCTGAAAACTTTAAAATGCTACACAAATGTTATTATAATTGCATAGGGGGCATTAGGTTTCCCAAGCCCACTCAACCTTTTTTGGCCTCAGAGTGCACCTGCCTCTAGAAGATCTGTGTTACTTTTAAAAAAAAACTTAATTAGGTCCTTTAATGTCCCTCTGGATATCTGCCTGAGATAGAAGTGCAGCTCAGCATAGAAGCTCCATCATCCATATTAAAAGTGGGATTTTCTGACTTGGCCTGGGCAGCCAGTTGACCAATAGGTTCCAATGGGTGTTTTCAATAAAGCTGCTTACCCAGGAAGCCTTATTAAGTGAGTAAGTCAACCTGACATGATTTCTGTGCTGATTAACATGAAACCTAGGCTGTTTTCACAATGCAGCAACATTAATTATTTATAGGAGGTAAATGAGGTTACGAGGAAAACAAGCTCCAATTACCAGAAACAAATCAAATCATATATTTATATTTTTAAAAGCTATGTGCTAATCCCTGCATTCATTGATTTGAGGTTCAAGCTTTAAGGATCAAAAAAACTCCATTTATCATGTTCTCCTCTTTCTCATAATCAAAGGCAAGGGAGGGTTTAACATTTTAAAGACTACCTGGTAAACTGGGATGCCCCAGGAGAGCTTATCAGTTACTTTTATTTAGTAAACTATATACCTAAAATTGTTCAATGAGATTCAAAACAATTCAAACTTTTCTATATACAAAAGCAAAAGCTTTACCACTCTTCCTTTCCAACCACAGTCTTGCCTATTTTATGAATAATACAATTTTCACAGAAGCTCCTTATTAAACAGCACTGTGTCTATTTGACAGGTGAAATAGCCTATCTCTGCTTACCTGAAATAGTCCTTTCTTGTGTTTGTGGTTACTACAGTCTTTTTAGTTTAGCATTTGTTCCAGATGTTTCACTTTAACAAAGTACTTTTATAATATTTGTACTGAAGTAGTCTTGGATGGGTTTGTTGAACCCTGGCTTCTATTTCTGGCTGTTTCCTTGGGCGGGTGTGAGATGTATGGAGGATGAAGAGTTCTCACTTTAACATATGGGCAAATTTGATAGATGACTGGTGATAGCACCCCTTCCTCTTCATGACCCTTCCAAGACACCACACCACTAACACCTCTACCACTGCTAGCACCAGACAGCACTTTATTGCAAAACAAAATGCTCTTCCAAGAGTGGTGAGATAAGTATTTGACGGTCAAATGGCATACAAGCCAGTTGTGACCTGAGCATTTCTTGGGGAATGCCTGAAGCCACCAGTTGGCAGTGACAGTGGGAAATATGGACGATTACAAGTTAGGCGAATGTGAAATGCCTCTACATAGAGGCTGAACAGTCCTTTGTAGAGCACATAAAAGTAGTCTGAAAGGTCTTGCTACAGGTTTTCATTCATCTTATGGTATACTTGTACAACAGTTTAGTTATTTAACTGTTTAATATGTACTTTGTTTTGTAATATTTCTAACATATGTGTTGTATAGTTATAAATATTTTAGCAACATCTTTCACTTTCTGAAATTTCTCTATGTTGGTGATGTGTTAAGTTATCCCATCTTACCTATTTCCTTTATTTCATATTTCTGGGGAGAAAGAAAAATATATGTTTGCACCTTTATATATGTATGTTTGTATAAATATCTGTGAAATAAAGAACCTGTGACAAAAAAGAGTTAGGCAGTACCACTGAAATGAATAATCAAATAAATTTGTTTCCTATATGTGATTTTCTTATAATATGGTAAAACTTGAGTATATTGGGCACGCTTTGAACCTTGAGTTAATCATTTAAAATGGAAGACACAGACAACTATGAATAACACCAGTGTAAATTTTGTGCTCTATATGCAGTATAAAAAGAAGATTCAGCATCAAACCAAGCCAGGTATTCACAGGAATTAACTTTTTCTGTTTCCCTTTTCCAGAATCTGGAAATGGCAAAAACATATGTGAAATCCAAGGAGATCGTGGAGCTGGTCAACACGCAGCCCTTTGTGGATAAAGGTCTGAGCTCTCAAAATGAGGTGAAGGGCGAGGAGAGAAGGCCAGGTGCTTATGGGGTGCTTGGAAGCTTGACTGAAGAACATGATAGTATTGAAGAGGAAGAGGAGGAGGAGGAAGATGGGGAAAAACCTAAGAGAAGAGGTCCCAAGAAAAAGAAGATGACCAAAGCTCGGCTTGAGAGATTCAGGGCTCGGAGAGTCAAGGCGAATGCTAGAGAAAGGACCCGGATGCACGGCCTGAACGATGCCCTAGACAACCTCAGGAGGGTCATGCCGTGTTACTCTAAAACCCAGAAGCTTTCCAAGATAGAGACGCTTAGACTGGCTAGGAACTACATCTGGGCTTTGTCTGAAGTCCTAGAGACTGGCCAGACACCCGAAGGGAAGGGTTTTGTGGAGATGCTCTGTAAAGGACTCTCTCAGCCTACAAGCAACCTGGTGGCTGGATGCCTCCAGCTGGGCCCACAGTCTATCCTCCTGGAGAAGCATGAGGAAAAGTCTCAGATTTGTGATTCTACTGTCTCTGTCCACAACTTCAATTATCAGTCTCCAGGGCTCCCTAGCCCTCCTTATGGCCATATGGAAACACATCTTCTTCATCTCAAGTCTCCAGCATTCAAGAGTCTGGGAGAGTCCTCATTTGGGAGCCATCCCCCTGACTGCAGTACGCCCCCTTATGAAGGCCCACTCACCCCACCTCTGAGCATCAGTGGGAACTTCTCCCTGAAGCAAGATGGTTCTCCAGACTTGGAAAAGTCCTACAGCTTCATGTCACATTACCCCTCTGCAAGTCTAAGCTCAGGGCATGTGCATTCAACTCCCTTTCAGGCTGGTAACTCCCGCTATGATATTCCCATAGACATGTCCTATGATTCCTATCCTCACCATGGTATTGGGACCCAACTGAACACGATCTTCACTGATTAGGGCAGTAACATCTGCATTTCAGAGAATGATGTGGAGACAGTCCTCAGAATTCAAGTGACTGAGCTGAAGATGCAAAGACTTTAAATGAATGCTATGGATATATATCGAACAATAATCTGAGTCCATTTAGGATCTCTGACACCTGTCCTCATCTTTTGTCATTGATTTCTCACATTATATTGACTCCTTTAGAGTTCTCACGTGAAATTACTTGATGACATACAACTATATGGTAATAGAAGACCTAGGCCCTCTTACGGTGGTGCCAAAAACTCGTTGAGTGATCTCTGCCAAATAATTCTTCACTTACTGGTGATACGAAGCAGTTGTTTTAAGTTCAGATAATTTTGACAGACCTTCTTGGTTCTGGAATTATATAACTTTGGTGAGAACTCTTATAAAAGCTTTTTAAAACTGGCAAAATGGAAGCAATATTCAGAAATGAATGGTATGCATGAAATGATCAAATGGAGGTGCCAAAGGGAGCACAAGGGCACGTCTGCTGGTGCACAGAGCGCGAAGTTCATTTGAACTTGGTGACAAGACTTCTTTGTATCTATCTAAAAATAGCTTCTAGAAGCTGAAATTCTAACTTGGTTGTCACTGTGAATAGATTAGTTTTATTTCTCATTGGACTAGAAATTGAAAATATCTTTCTTAGCAATTTGAAAACCACAAGAGGACATCATGTCTACTTTATTCTTATAATATTTCAAAAGCACTTTTCTTAGTAGTAGAGGTAGGGTAACAAAATCATTGACATCTCAGACTTCTATGACCAATGGAACATGGAGGAGTCATTTGGATCATTTCATGGCCTTCACAACCACGAGGCTCTGGAAATTCCGACAATGTTCTGGTGCTGCTACTGGAATCAGCACAAAACCCAGGTTTACATTATAGAGCAATAAAATGGCGGTTGGCTACACTAACTACCAGTTCAGGGACTCTCTGTGGTTCATACTCATGCATAGGAAAACCACTGGCAAGATGAATTTCATTTGGTTACAGTAAAGATTATTAAAATCACTGGCCTCTGTCTATACCAGGTCCTATTTTCAGAAGCATAACACCAATCAACTTAGTGATTAAGCTTGAATTTTTCTAACATATGCAATTACTTATCTCTCTCACCACTAATTGTTACCTATTCCTCACTTCTAAGATACAATGTTATTATACTTTGCAGGTAACGTTTCAAGTGGTGAAACTTAGGGGCTCAGAAACAAAGTCTAAGGTCAGTGAATGCTTTTATCAATCTCTATCTTCACCACAGGTTTAGCCCAATCTGCTGGAAGTGTATTGTTCTTTATGTAACTTCTCTTTTCTTTATATTAACACTAATTTTATTGAGTTTATCATTTACCCAGGAAATAAAATCTGAGGAATTTTAGTTCTGTTCAATCTGCCAGGACAGTTAACTTAGGTTCAAGCCAAGAATGTGGTAATAGTAGATCAGGTCCTGCTCCTGCCTGAGACAGTACATTTAGCAATGCAGGTACACCAACAGGGCCAATAAATAAAACTGATAAGACAGATTAGTATGTCATTTTCTACAGCTTAGTTAGCTCCTAAAATCTGCCAAACTTATGTGTACCTTATATTTTGATCTTTCCTATTTATTTCCTGTAGAATAAACTATCTTATGTCCTTTTTTTTGCAGCACTTACTTTGTTGTATTTTGCACCCTTGGTTTGTAAACCCATTTGAAAGTAGTTTTGTAGAGAGATCATAAACTCCATCACCCACCAATGTAACTCCACTCATCATGATCTGCCCTTGTAAGATGATTTATAAAGCCATCCTATCTGCTTTCTTAACATATGCTGGTACTTACCTTCATAGGGGGATATTGGAGATTTTATTCTTAAAACTAGCATTTTCTGGCATTTGTAGATAATACATGTTATCTGAGTTATTTATTAGATACTATTTATTTAATTTATTTCTCCTTTCCTTTTATGTAAATTCTTTGGGTTACCTACACATTCTCACAACCTCACCCTCCCCAAAAGCTTCATTTAGAGAGAAGCTCATAATTTTGCTAGAAGTACTGAGTTTTGGAGTGAAGGAAAGAAAGGAATTTGGTTCATGATTGATTGTAATTATTTGGGTGGCTGTTCAAACATTGTTTTTAGATGCTCTTCCCTTCACACTGAGATGAGTAAAGTGGTTTTTATTTGTTGTTTTTGAAACATATTGTTTATGCCTTTGGAGAGTATATAGTACTCATGAATCAGGCCTCTCCGGAATTGTGCAGGGAGATTTTTAAAATTGAATTAAAAGTTAGTAATGCAGTATGCTTGGGAAGATTCTACGCTTCAAATCAGAGCAGTTTCATTGTTCTGTGGACTTTTTCAGATAAAACAAAGCAATGGCTTAAATCTTTTGTTGAAATCGTGACTGGTTTCCCTCCCCTTTTTAGCAGAAATAAAGCTGTGTTTTATTAGACACTGTGTTGTGTTGCTGGTTTTTAAGGCTTTCTTCACTCTCCTTTATTCATTTTCTTGGGCGCCATGATCTGCAAGCAGCAGGACACAAGGCAGCCTATCCGGGGGATTTACACGTTCCGTGTTGAAGCTGATCTTCGAAAGGTCTAAGAAGCTGAAAGTCTGGAAGCACAAGTCTCTGCTTCTTATACAATAAGCCATAGAATCTGTGGCTGAGAACAACAGTAATAACAAAAGTTTAAAAATAAAGCTTATAAAAGCAATGTGTAGGGTTATGAGTAGTCTAAGTTATCACACCAGAGAGAAGCATGACGGGAAGAAGGCGTATTATCTACACCATAAGCGAGTCTACTAGCTTTTCAAAAAAAATCATGAACTATGTTTTCTTGTGACTACTTTTTAGCATCTCTTCTCTTAAATTTTTTGTAGGTTTTTTTCTAGTTAAAATATTCCAGATTCTTTTCTTATATGCATAAAATATCAATTTAAAGAAATAATAATGACAATGATAATGAGTATAAACACACAAAGTTGGTTAATCAAGGAAAGGACTTGGCTTAAAATTTTTCAGAAGCAAAAACTATAGAAAGTCATCTTCTCACACCTATCTCCCGTCTGGTATGCATGCTCTGCAACTTGAAACTAAGAAAACATTTAATTTTTTAGTTATCAGAGATATTTTATGCACACATAAACCAGTATTAGGTGCATTTTTCAACATACTGGGATATATTATGCGCTCCCTTTTCAGCAAATGACAGTATAATAATACATGTCTACACATTCCTTTTTAAACTATTTAAGCACATATCCTGGTGTATTTTCATATTTAATAAAGTTTCTTAACTCCATTGTAATTGATTAGCTTTCTGCATTAAATACTATAACATGAGATTAAATGATGTAAATTATATTTTTCCAATCTTTTCTAATACTGAATGATTACATACACATCATTTGAAACTTATTAAGAGGGCCTACTTTGCAAAGAATGTTTCAAAGAGACAAAAGGTAAATAGATAACAGCAACTCTATCTTTTAGTTATTGGTTGTGTTCTATGTAATGTCACTTTTCTAAGTGACTTATGTATATTAATTTAGTACTGAAGTCACTCTTCTAAGGCAGTCACTGTTATTCCCATTTTGGAGATTAGGCAGCTGAGAGACAATAATATGTCTAAACTCTCAGTGAAGAGTGGAGCCAGAATTTGAAGTAGTTTGTTTATCTAAAAGTTGTAACTACTTTTTCAGTGCTTACATGTTTAGTAGGCACAAGAGGATGTCATATGTACACGATGCTGAAGCTGGTGAAGGTAGAGTGAATCTGAGAGAAAACTCACTTTCTTTTGACAAAGCTTGATTTTTTTAAAATTAGACTTTGCCTATGCAGACTGTATAAATGTACACCATATCCCAGATCAGTACCCTGTTGCTCCCGGAGCCCATCTTTCAGATGGAATAAATCCGTTTCATGCTTTCATCTTTAGAGTTTAGGAAAAGCATTTCAGTAAGGAATCATAATATAAAAAAATCTACCAACATAAAACCATCCTAAGTTTAAGTTTATTTTCTTCAGTCTATATACTTTTAGAGAATAGTTTGGTGTAGTAATTACACCATCAACCTTAGGATCAAATAAGTGATATTTGTGATATGCAGCTTACTGGCTGAATCTTGAACTGATTAACTTGTAAAGTCTCAATTTTTTCAAATTCAAAATAACGGTAACAGAAATGCCTTCTTTATAGGGTTCATTAATTGAGATAGAACACCCCAAATACTTAGCAAGTATTTCATAAGTGTTACTTATTACCATTTATGTTACTATTCATTATTTTCTGTTACATTCATCATAACTTTTCTCTTTGCCTCCAGTATAGATTGGGATCTTAGAAAGTTCATAGAATTTTAGTTATTATGGTTGAGTCAAATAGGACTTGAAATTTGAAGCTAACTAGCTGTGTAGCCCTGGAAAAGTTGTTTAGCCTCTATTTCAATTTCATTCTTTATAAGAAAGATATACAATAGTACCAAAGCTATGGAACTAATATAAGAATTAAAATTATAATGTCAACAAGGTGTTTTAGTCAATTTGGGGGAAAGGGTAAGCATTTTATTGTCATTATTTTTGATGCAGTGGGGAGTAGAATGAGAACAGATGAGGTAATTGAGCACCAGAGGACAGATGATCCTTTGAATTTACACACTGAATTGTTGGGTGGACCCAACATCAAAATCAGACTTTTTGATTAGAACTGCACATATTGATATGTCCTATTTTCCAACTCATCATATTCCTTTAATTTGAAATTTTCAACAGCAAATTACTAAATGTTGGAAATAAGCATATTGCATTTTGCTTTCTTTTCTAGAAATTGGTGTAGAGCTCAGAGAAGCCTTGTAGTGATATTTTTACTGTCATTTGAGCTACAACTATATAGAAAAAGAATACTCTTACCTCACAAGTACATGATACCTGCTCTCAATTCAATTTTACAAATAGTTATTGAGCATTTCTTTGGTGCTAAGCACTAAGATAAATGCTGGGAATACAAAAAATATGTGAACAGGTATTACAGTCTGACATGACTATAAATGAATACTGCACATTTACATGTTTGTCACTCAGTATTGGCAGCAAAATTAGGCAAGTAGCTTGCATGTTACACATCTTACTTGAGGGGAGAAAACTGGAACTCAGACATTTACTGATTTGCATGTCAAGCTATTAGCTTGGAATGAAGGCATAGACTATATGATTCTAATATTATTTTGAGTGTTTGTTTTTTATCAGTAAATTCCTACTCCTCGTGTTTAAGTTAAACACATTTTCTGAGATGAGACTAATAAATTATTGTAACAATTTTGGATACTTACAAGTGGACTAACTTTGGTTAATTACTGTAAATTAATTACTTTACTAAATATGAACTGAAGCAAATTATAGAAAACAATACCTTCTTTCCTCTTATGATGACCCCTCTCTGCTTCCTGCTTGTCATGCCATGAGCTGTTTCTCCTTTCCCATGCCTCTCTGCCATGCCACCCTGTCTTGGAGTTACCCAACTACTGACTGAAACCTCTATAAACTGTGAGCCAAAATAAACCTCTTCTTAAAAAAATAGCTCAAGGAAAGAAAGAAAAAATTGCTGTGGATTTGGTATCTTGTTAAGTGTAAATCATCAAGTTAAATTCTTTACCTTGAGTTAAAACAAGTAGAAGACACAGACAAAGCAAACCATTGAAGCAG